CATCCTCATCTTCAAAAAGTGATCACCTACGAGGAAACGAGAAATTTTAGTCCTCATCAAAACTCAAGAACAGCTTTAATTACTAAAAAACCTAATGTAACATAAATATAGAGACTTAAATACAAAATGCTATTGTTTACCTCTTCAAGACAAAAAGTTCATGACTAACCATGTAAGTGATTGATCTACAACAAATCTTTCAAAACAATGCAATTTAGAAATGCTACCACAATAACTAATTAAACATTCTCTACAAATTATAAGATAAAATCTATATTAGATTTTTTTCGCACTCAAATCCTAATAATAGACTAAATTATTGCAACACAGACAACACGAAGATATCAGAATTTAACTCAAATTTCGAGAATTGAAAGTATGCTACACAACCTAAATCTAGAGACTTAAATACAAAATCTAATCTAATAACATCACAATGTGAGCAAAATCTAACAGTAGCAATCGAGATTATATTGCACATCCTTGAAAGACCAAGCAAATAATGAGTTCTGACTCATTTATGAAAATATAAACACTAAGTCTTAATTGACTATCTTTACTACAGGATAGCTACACAATTATCCAACTAGACTTTAAACTATATTCATGACACGAATATAAACACTACATAAAACCAATCACAAAGATCCAAAGCACCAACAACCCTAGACGCCAACCCCAACGCAAATATTAGATTTACAATCAGTCAAGTTCGGAAATTAATAAGATTCAAAGCAATGGAAATCACCATATCAACTCTTTTGCTTCGTTCTCATTGGCAAAGCAAAGGTCTATATCCCCAGACTCCAATAGCCGGAGAAGAGATAATCTAAAATCCCGAACCATCTGACCAAATATAGAGATGTGAGATACTTTATTTACCTCTAAACACATCTTTTAAAATGATACAAAAGTCTCTTCTTCAAAACAAAAAGCACACAGAGGTTTGCTAAGTAATATACCACAAAAGCTTTCTCTTGTTTGGCCAACTTTACAGCCGCTTGAATAACTTCCAAGTTAAAAATACTATATCTCATTACAAGCCATTGCGATAAGGACATGTCGACAACTAAGTTATCAGTCAACTAAAAACATTTCCTAAGTAATAAAAAAAAAAGGCCCCAAAACAAAAACAGTGACAAAACCGACCTAAAGGGAAGTGGAGAAGGGTGGGGAGGCTAAAATCTATACCACATAAGTATAATTTCACAGTCCCCTAACCATTTTTTGCAACTACACATATCAGCACTCCATTCATCTTATTCAGGCCATTGTAGTTGAAGTCATATATCAGAAAAGTGATTGATAAAGACCAATGTGTAGGTATAAGTAAAAAAAGCATGTCATACCATTGGATGTCATGGAGTTGTATATTCCAACTCGTTTGATATTCTCCCCGTGGAGTTCATCAGTGTTATGGCTAAAATTTAACATAATCAGTATTGATAAATTGGTGCTCATGAAGAACCTTATCAAAGCAAAACATAGAGATATTAGATGGGATATATTGGAGGGAGAGTACACAAAATCAATGTTGTTAAAAATATATACGATTCAGAATGAAACAAAGGCAAAAAGATTCAAATCGCATTTTGAATCGCAAATTTCGTGGTTCGTACTTTTCAAATGATATAACCCTAAAAATGAAACGGAACGAAACGATGGATTAAAAAAGAAAAGAATAGGGCTTTTTTACTCATCTGGTAGTGCCATCAATAGCATGAGAAAGTAGTAGAAAAGACAAAGAAAAAAGAAAAAGAAACAGTAGGAGAAGAAGAAGAAAGAAGAAGCGGCCGAAGAAGAAGAAGATAGAGGACGGAGAAGAAGTGACGGAAGAAGAAGAAGAAAGAAGAAAGAAATTTGGGCGTGGGATGGGATTTACTGTGCCGGTTGGTGGCGGGTCGCCGGAGACAAAAGAAGGAGGGGGTAGGCGGCTACCAAAAGAGGAGGAAGAAGAAGAATAATATTGGAGAGACTAGGGTTTTGATTTAATTTTGTTTTCCCTTCTTTTTGTTTTTCTTTTATTTTATTTAACGAAAGAAACAAACTTAAACATAAATAAAAAAAAATAGGCTAATGTTCTTAGATTTTTCATAATATTTCCCTAAAATTAAAAATGTGAAACATTCCGTCATTTCTCGTTAAAAACGCAGCTTACTCTTTTCTGACGTTTTTTAAACGTCAAGAAAAATACTTGTTTTGCCAAACTTTTTGTGACGCTTAAAAAACGTCACAAAAAGGTCAAAATTCCAGAAATCTCCGTTTTTTCCCAAAAACACGTTCGTTTTATTTGAACAATATTTTACTGTTCATGTGCGTCACGAAAACCCAAAATTCTAGTAGTGTTTCTATTTTAAAATCTGCATGCTTGTCTAAGTTCTTGAGAGGTTTAGTCAAAGAGACAAATAGGAAGTTAAAACAACAAATTGTGTGGGTATTGATATTTGAAGACTTTACAAATGTATAAATAATCTCTTTCTGCTATTTATTTTACTTTTATGCTTAGAGTTATGAGTTCGTTTTTTGTATAACCGGCCTGGTTAGAATTATATTCTTTCACGATGAATTATTATTTATTTACCTTTGGGATTTACATGTTTACTACCCTTTAGTTGATTCATGGAGTTCATAGTCACCATGTGTATAGTTGCTTGCAGAAAATTTTGGTTTTCCATGACGTTTCCCGCCAAAAACATGCCTCACCCTTTCGTGACGTTTTTTTAAACGTCACGAAAAATGTATTTTTTTCCAACTTTTCGTGATGGTTAAAAAATGTCACGAAAATGTAAAATCTGGAAAACTCCATTTTCCTCACTAAAAATGCGTTTGTTACCTTTTGTGACGTTTTGTTTAGTTTTCAACAGTTTTTACTACTTATTAGCGTCACGAAAATCCCTTGTAGTAGTGGAATGACTACAAAAATAACTTCGAAGCAACCATCATGCAAAAATGGTTGAAGGATTCAAAAATTCTTTTCGACTAATTAGTTAGTTTTTTTTAGCACATACCTATTACATGTTAGTTTCTTATATGACTAATTAGTTAACAAACACATGTACATATGGATGAAAAAATGAACGAAAGTAAATGCTAACATGTTTTAGTTTTATATATTTTTCCTTTTCCTAACATTGAAATGGTTCGATGTGTGTAGATATATGATAAATTTCATGCATCCAGTTACCTCATTGGCTGAAATTTCCTAAAGGCCTCTTGAGACATTGTCCAATGAGGTAACAATTTATTGTCACCTTTTAATTCACTTTCTAGATATTGAAGGTATCTAAATATCAACATCAAGTCCCTGTGTTTTGGTATCGTTGGAATTAGGTACCTACGTTGCCACTATTTTTATTGTATCACAAAAGTAATATTCTTGAGCTATGTTTGCTATAATATGTAATGACTCCAATTTTTTATATGTATTTAATAATATTAAATCGAGATAATTACTCATAAAACATAATTTCATTAAAATAAAATAAGATAAAAACTTGTTCTTTCATTTAAAAATAGAAACGATAACTTAATAAAACTAAACTTATAAATCTCTATGAGTAGAAATCATAAATTATAATCAAAGTAAAAATGTGGTCTAGTCATAATTAAAAGTATAAATTATAAATAAAATTAAAGTTTGTCTCATATCTCCTTCTCATCATATAAAAATAGCCAGTAAGTAGTTCCCATCATAAGGAACCTTTATGCACAAACACACGTTTTTAAATGCATGCATACATCCACCTAGCATATAAACCACCGAACATCCTAACTTAACATACTTGTGCTTGCTAGTAGAAACTTACTTATCTAAATCCTTAATTTGGCGCCATGTTATGTAGAAATATCCCATACCATGACCGTCAATTCCGCATGTAATATTTATAGGGTAATTATCTCTCATAAATACTATTTACTGAACTAATTCGTTTCCTAGGGCCCAACTTTTAGCAAAAACTATACATGTCATATGATACATCTAGCTGCATAATATAACTGCTGGTATTTCATGCATAACATTAATCTGACCTAAATTCATGACACATAAGACTACTAATTTAATTAGCAATATGTCACACATATGTCATACTTTACCTAAACATGCTTTGCTATTGAACTTATTTAAAATGAAATGATAAAACTATATAATCATAACATGATTTGCAATACATCAAATTTAATCACAACAACCATTCAATAACAGGTGCCGAATCTAAATTTTGAATCCTGAACCTGGGGCGTTACACAATCCCTCTTCCTCGTGCTCTATCTCTTCTTCTACTTTTCTTTCTTTACAATTGGTACGTATATCTCTTTGGTTTTTTGTCACTCACTGCTTCTAACTTCTAAATATGGGCCTAATGGCTCTTAGCTATGGTTTGTCTAGAAGACTTTGGTCTCACTAAAACAAATTATGGTAGCAATAACTTGACATTATAGACGAACCAATTGAGTCTTTCTTTTCTGACGATAATTCCATATGTATTTGCACCATGTATTGTGGTAACGTAACATTTTGAATAATTTTTCGAGATAGAAACTAAAACATCATACAATTTCTACTACAAAATGTGCTTAATTATAGAGTTTTATTGAGGCTTCGTTTGTTTATATAGGAATAGAATGTGACAGTAAAGGAAATTTTAGCGATTCATGTTTTAGCACATTATTTTGCTTGTCTCGTGTTTGGTAGCATTTTTCACCATTATTTTATTGTTATTTTGTTGTTTTTGCTTATATATTATCTATAATTTTGTTTAATCTGTAGCCCGTTTGCACGAGCCATTAACTCCTTGAAAACATCCAAATACACTACCGAGTATGATTTCACTCTATTTTTCTTCAATTTTGTGTCTACTGCTCTATTTGGTGCCATTTTGCACCCCTTTTTTGTTCTTATTTTTCTTGTTCTCGCTCTCATACTTTATACCTACATACTAAATACATTTGTGTTTGGATTTTAGCTCATTTTCAGGAGCCAAACAATACTTAATTATCCCAAAAATAGAGATTACCTGAGAACAACTTTTCCATTTTTCTTCTTTAGCAACTGTATCATTCTTTATATGTTTCTGATATCCACTTTGAGCTCGCTTCTATCACTCTTCTCTGATGGCTCTCTATTGTGTCTTCTTTGATGTCTTTTTTAAATGCCTACCGACTCTTATCCTGTTTTATTTCTCTCTTGTGATTGAAATTTAGCTAATTCTCCTTGCTTTCCTTTCTGGGTTGCCATAATGTGTGAATTGTATCTCCCTTTATCCCTTAAGAATTGAGTGATTTTGCCAATTTTTCCTTGGGAGAGAATTGTCCCTTCATTGTGAGTATTGAATTCATGAGGGTTGTGCTCCAAAAATTTACCTAAGTGAGAATGTGTTCTTTTGTTTCTCTTACTATTACTACTGAAATTTCATTATGAAAATTATATATTGGAGCAAGATATCCTTTCCGGTTGCTGACAGCTTCATTTATTCGCTTTGACAAGCTTTTTCAATAGTTGTTCTTCAATTATTTCCATGCATCTTTGAATAATTTTCATGGGAAACATTTGAATGATTTTTTTATCACCTTGCTCTATATGTCAAAAGGAGAGGTTTTTCTTTTCTTCCTTGCTCTTTCTTGTATATTTAATTTCAGTTTTTACTTGTAGATTTTGTGGGATTTTGGAGAAGACGATATGGTTTGTTATTGAACCATGAGGAATTTGGTTTGTTATTTCCTTCCTGCTTAACTATGAAAAATATTTCAAATTGTAGTTCACACGGCTATAAGAATTTGTGATCTGCTATAATGTAAATTATTGAAAATTGAATTGAAAAAAAAAACTATGAAAATTTTTCTAAAGCATATTTGCAAAGTTAATAAAAGTTTATCATAATATTTTATAGTTGCTATTAAAGCATAATAATAGCATGATCATGCACCTCATGCTGCGTGGCTCACCTGCCATACGCCCTCGCCTTTGCCCGCGCACGCCCCATGCTGCTTGTCCTCTCACACGCCTCCTACTAAACGGCTGTTTCATGCATGTCACATGCCATACACTCCCTTGCCCATGAAAATGAGGTAATTGAGTATTTTAATTGACAAATTAAGTGTATAATATTATACCCTAAATTGCAATGTTTAGTTTATTTTACCATGAATTTTCATTAGAATTACTAGTATAGTTATTAATTTATTTGATCTATAATTTTCTTTGGTTATTACTTGGATTAATATATATGTAGCTCATTGAAATTTGAGGGTAGTTTGAGATCTTGCTAGTCATGCATGTAAAATGCCTCGTTGAAAGTAATGATAGTTTAAGATCTTGTTGGATGTACATTTATTCAGCATGCTATGATCTTGAAAGAAAAAAAGTGCATTTATAATTATCACTAAATTTATCACATTTCCATGTTATATGCTATGAGTAATAAATATAAAAAGTAGGAATTAATATGATTTGTTATTTTCCATGAAGAAACATGTAGATGCCTATAGTGTTAATTAATGATATGGTATTGCTATTTAAAATAGTAAACTATGGGCAATCATTCAATTCATAATCGTTGGAATCATTAATTTGTGAGGTTTTTTCCTAACAGTTTTGATGATGACAATATCAAATTGTTTGAGTTTTCCTAACCTATGCCTGCAAAAATAATTTATAAATTAAAGTTTTTTATTTTTTTGAAAAATAGAAATTAAAGTATACGTGTTGGCTGCCCAAAAAAAGTATATTTTAAAGTTAGAAAACCTAAGTATAGCTCAACGAACTTAGATAAGGTATCTATTTCCGACCAAAAGATGGTGGGTTCGAATCTTCACCCCACATGTTGTACTAAAAAAAAGAGTTGTTCGACCAGAAATTCAGATGAACGAAACTCGACTTTAATGAACTTGATTTATATTTATGTATAAGTGTTACAACTCTACTGTATGATCCTCTGATTAATTCTCTCTGACGTAAGCTCGCTTCGAGGGTTAATGAACTTGTTCTCGAATCAAGGAGG